TAGTTTGCTTTAATTTTATGCCAAACTCTTTTTCAAGCATCATTTTAACGTGGCGTTTGTCTTGGTGTCCCCATCTTTCATGAAAAAGCTGTAACAACTGGCTATTGGGAACTGCTGCATTAACTTCAGCCTTAACATCTGGTTCTATAACTTTTATATTAGCATTGTAGAGGGTTCCACCTATTTCTCTAGTTCCAGACAACACTATTTTCCCACCAACTTCAAGCCAGCATTTGGTTGTAGTCGACTGAAATACGCTATTGTGATTTTTTTCTTGTGCAGCCAACACCGAGAATAAGTTCTTAGAAATTTTTGGAACGTACCATACATCATTTAGGGTAATTTCTTGATTACATTTACCTACAGTAGATAAAAATCTAATGGTACCTCTTCCAAAAGCATTTAAACACTCTTTTCCAGCAGCCTGTATGCTATGGGGATACTCAAATTGTTCATAACTAACGAAATTCCCTGAACAATTTGTTACGTGTTTTGTTGCACCATTATCAACCCACCACTCATTTGAATCTGATTCAGCCAAATGTATCTCGTCACATACGGATATTAGAGCCACGGTTGCATCTGCTACATTACTAGTATTATCAGTGACTCTACTTCTAGACGGTCTTCCGTCGGCTATCCACTTTTGACAATTTTTAACCCAATGGCCTTTTAATTTGCAATAGTTGCAAACGTCGTTACTTTTGCTCTTTTTTTTACTGAATTTATTATTTCTTCTCTCTTGTCTTTCTTTGTCTGATTTAGCTAATAATGCTTCTTGAACTTGATTGCTGCTATCTGCATTTCTTATAAAATTTCTTTCATGCATACATAGTTGTGTTGCTAATTCGTTAAATGTCTTATCATTATCTCTAGTTAACAACATCCAGCCTGATCTAAACGTTTCAAAGTTAGAAGGTAAAATTTGTAGTGTTTTACAAACTAATAATAGGTCTGGAAGTGCAGCAAGATTCTTAGCTTTAAGACCTGTATTTAACTCTGTCCACAAACTATTTAATTTAGCAATATGAGTGGAAACATCATCTTTTGAAATCCAGTTAAAGGCGAAGAAATCAGTGCAGATTTTAAATAATTGGTCTTGGGACGTAGCTTCAAATTGTAGTTTAAGTGCAATCCATACCTCGTGGGCTGTTTCTTTATCCATAACTTTTTCATACACTGCATCGGTAATTGTTGTCGTTATCATCGACTTGGCATAACAATTTGCCTTACGAAACAGATCAGATTTATCTTTATGCTGCTTGATCTGTTCTGCCGTAGCATCTGTAGATAATGGTTCAGGTTTAATTAACTTGCCATCGATAACATCTCTGATCTTCCTTTTCCATATTGGCCAGTTTGACTGACCGGCTAATGGTTTCATATACTTCGCTAATTCCATCTTATTATGCGTTTAATGATACTTCTTGGGACTACCGCTAGTGCTTTTAAATTCTTCTGACTTACAACACGACTGAGAGCAAGGCTGGGCCCATAACCTGTTGCGGTAGATATTTCCAGTGGAAATAAGGCTCGTCAGTAAGTGTGTTCAAAAAGATTTTATTAAAATATGAAGAGACAGAATAATATAATATAACTATCAAAAATTGACAACAGTAAAAAAAAAACATCAACTTATCTAATATAAAACTACCTAACTGATAGTGACTAAGTGCTAACTTTATTTAACATATTAGACTGATATCTTCAACAAAAACACATTCATCATTCAGAATGTACCTTTCATTTAATAATTAAATAATTCAAATATTCTGTAAAATGAATAGGTACGTTTGCATCGAGCGAATTATTAATAGAAAAATATTTATTTAATCCAGCGAACTTAGTAATACAACTCGATCTGGCAACACGGTAGCGTTGGCGTACGCGGACATCCGAAATTTCTGTTTGAGTAGGAAATTTAGTGCTCTCTGTGAGCAATTTTAGAAAGTACTAATTGAGATGGCAGCACCTCTCAGAGATAAGACTTTGAAAGAGGAAATTCAAAATAGTGTTATTGTTTAATTGAATTTTTCACTAAATTTATAAAAAACTTATTAATGTTTCGAGGTCAATGTCTTTAAATATAATTATTGAAGGTATATTCTTTAATATTACATTCATTTTTATAGTTTAAATCTAATTTTTGTTAATAAAATAAATAAATTTTTCAATTACGTCATTTCTGCAAGTTCAAAAATTTTCAAAAAATTTATGTAAGTTTCTTAACCAAAACTAATTTATTTTATGAAATAATGATCTCTCTTGATAGTCTAGTTTCTTTGTTTTATACTTGTAAAAAAGTAAATTTTCGGATTTTTCTGAAGAACAAATGATACAAACCGGATCAAATTTAGGTAAAATAATACTTAAGGTTGTATATACATTCACACATTTTTTCAAAAATTTTGAACGTGTAGATACTTTTTCCGGGGTCCATATAAACCTTAATACACAAAATTATTGAACATGTGCTAGATACTAGAACTTTTCGGGTCTCAATGCAGAGAGAATCAAGTTATCATTTAGAAGCAATGTAATTTAGAAGCATTATGTATCATGACTGCATTTTACTAATGTCTAAAATTTATATGTATAATAAACTAACAAGAACACTAAAACTATTCGTAAACTATCCTTATACCGTCGGATTTTTTTATTTAATTTAATTTATTATATTGGGATGCTAACTTCCGGCCGTTAGCCTCTCATTTTTTAAATTGCAGTTTTTGGTACTAAATTCGACAAAACTATTAACAAAAATTATCAGAAACTATAGAACTATGTCGGATGCCATAAGAACTCTGCTTAAAATATGAAATGCTGAGATTTGAGATGCTAACTTCACACACGTGAGCGTCGTAAGTTACCGTTTTAAATATTTTTAGTTTCTTTATTATTGAACCATTATATTTAAATAATTTTCTGGGTAGGGAAAATATATTCCCCTGTACCTGGGGTGCCGTTATCGTGCCCGAGTGGATATTTTTTTTTTGTAAATATATTTCGTTAATAATCCCTGTGTTTCTTTTCTTTTACAAGCGACTCTTAACCATTTTATTTTAGGGTACCGTAGGGTAGGAGGTCTAAGGGAGAGCAGTATCTTTAATAATTATAATTTAGTGGCTACCTCGTTAACAGTGACCACCTGGAGGTACTTATAACATCACTGAGTTTATCTTAAGTACACTCTGGTATACTACAGGGTCGCAAGGTAAAATGTGTTACCAAAAACTGGTGCCCGAGCAACCCTTATTCTGCATTTACCACCTTAGCGCCATACATACTTCCTACTTCACAATAGGTGAGGCTTGAAGCCTGTCACCATAGCTTTGTTCGGCTTATCAATTTTATAACGTTTCAGAATGATTCAGAACTGCGTGAAGTTAGTTGCGCACTAAATTACACACGAAACAGTCAATCCTAGAGTGTCCTAGGACTATAGATTTCGAAAAACCCGAACACGTAAATTTAAATGCGCATGATTATAACAATTTTAAACCGTCCTCAAAAGTAAGTCGAACAAAGCTAATGTAATGGGGCAACCTGTAGTGGGGACAAGCCGTTCGGAATCCGATAAAGCACGGAAAACCGGATCCGGCATCAATATACACTTACTGGATTCAGTACCAATATACCAGATCCGGTGACCGGGTCCGGTGATTGCATATTTTGGCAAAATAACCGAGCTGATGCATTAGGAGATACTTTAAAGGCATGCTGCTTTTACGTGTGAGTCGTTTTACGCTGAAACAGAAAATGGACTGCATTTAAAAGTGAAGGAGTTCGAGCAGAATATTTGTCTGCTGTTTATGAATATTTGCTGACAATTAAGCCGACAAGTGTAGAAGCTGAGAGCGCCTTCTCGACCGCAGACTACATTTGTAGCTTTATTAGAAGTCGATTGGCATATGACACATTCAACCCAATTTGTTTCTTAATATCATTTTTTTAAATCAAAAGTTGATTATTTATTTAAAACCTCAGAGTTAAAATATTATAAAGAATAGTTATTGTGATTGTTGTGCTGTGCGTTCCAATATAAACTAGGTTCCTAACTAAATAATTTGTCGCTCATGGCTCATAAACATAGTTTATTACTGAGTTACGAACTGTTCGGAATTATTTTTTAAATCAAACCTAATAAATAAAACACCTTCTCACCCGTCTCACCTAACAGATTCTTAGTTTTTATAAAAATAAATGAATTCCTGCATTCATTCAAAACACCGCCCTAATTTTTACATGCTTTGTACACTTACTTATATTTTATTTATTACTGTTTTACGTTTGCGATAAATATTTGTAAATAAAAAAAATGTGTTAATAAAATAATTTGAAGAATGTGAATTGAATAAGTAGAAAAAATGTAACTACAACCTCTATTTGAATATTTTCTCCAGTTTCGGCTATTGATACAAATATACATAGTCCTATTGATATGAATCCAATAGTAGCGAAATTTTCTTTCGATTTTATGGTCTAAAAAAAGATAATTTAATTAATTAATTAATTAATAATAATAATAATAATAATAATAATAATAATAATAATAATAATAATAATAATAATAATAATAATAATAATAATAATAATAATAATAATAATAATAATAATAATAATAAAAACCGTTTAGGTTCCGGTTTTAAAGAATTGGCCTAAGGTAAGCCCTGCCAGTCGTAAAAGGCGACTCAAAAGGACAACCACCGTTTTGATGGGTTAGCAACCCTCTTAACGTGATTAGTCGCTGTCATAACCAGACATAAGCGATATTCGGGCGTGGCAGAAGACCAGGCCCCTTCTGTTCGGAACCGTCCTAAGGACCCCCGGCCTGGACCAAGTCAGGGTGGACAAGGTGGCACCCCCTTGGTACCGGAACCCACCGTGCAAGAACCTGGAAACCAAGACAACAGTATTTCCATTGAACTCATCGACGTTGTGGAAGCTCAGGCCCCACCCGTTGTTGAGGAACAGACAGACAACAGAAGAGTTCGATTTAAATGGTCTCAAGACATGAACGTACACCTTTATCGAGCGTACCTGTTTATCACAGAGATGCAAACGACAATAACATCGACCCAGTACAGATAGTCCCACCAGATGACCGACTAGCTTACGATGCACTTCATGAAAATCTTCAGAAGTACAATGGAATGGATCCTTCATTAAGACCAACAATCCCAAGGTTAAGAACTGACAGAGAAACAAATACAATTCTTAAATCTCTAAATAGTGTGCTCAAGGATGAGGCTGATCGATGCGAAGACATTACCCAGTTGCATGACCTCGTATACTCTGCAGCAATGGCAACTCTTCAGCTGCACAAGTTTAAACCTACAAGAGTATCGAAGAAAAATAAAAATACAAGCAACAAACCCGGATGGGCGTATCGTCTACAAAAACAAGTTGCTGGCCTGAGACAGGAAATTGGAATCCTAACTGAGGCAAAGAACATACAACGTAGTTCCAAAGTAAATGGTAAGTCTCAGCAAATTATCAATCGTCATTAGGATAAAGACAACAAGACGGCGGACGAAATTTTTGATCCACTTAAACAAAGACTCAAAGTGAAGGCGAGTAGACTTGCAAGATATAAAGAGGCACACCGCCGAAGAACATACAATAAACTCTTTTACACGAATCAGAGAATGTTCTATCGCAAAATATTCAATGAAACAAACATCCGAGATGGCAAATATCCTCAGTCAGAAGAAGTAAAGGAGTTTTGGAGTAGTATCTGGGAGAAACCAATCCTTCATAAAGCAAATGCAGGCTGGCGCAAATACGAACAAAAAATCAGGGAAAAAATTCCGCACATGAACCCCCAAAATATTAGTGAGAGTGACGTAGAGCTAGTATTAAAAAACGCTGCTAACTAGAAGGCTCCAGGCCCTGACAAAATCTAGAACTTCTGGTACAAAAGATTTATGTCACTGAGACCCAAGCTCACCTACTTCCTTAATCATCTGCTGCAAAATCCCGATTCTGTGTCAAACTTCTTAACGAAAGGAGTCACATATTTACTCCCGAAAACGGAGCAACCAGTGGAAGATCCGTCAAAATACCGACCAATTACGTGCCTACCTACCCTCTACAAAATCGTGAGCGGCGTCCTATGTAACAAGACATACGAACACCTTCTTGAACATGACCTCCTTGCAGAAGAGCAAAAGGGCTGTACAAAACGCTCTCAGGGTTGTAAGGAGCAGCTTGTAATTGACCAGGTAGTTACTCGACATGCTGTCAAGAATAAGAAAAATCTTTATGCCGCCTACATTGATTATCAAAAGGCTTTTGACAGTGTGCCTCACTCCTGGCTTTTACCATGTCTTTCCATATACAAAATCGACACCACAATCATTGACCTGCTCAGAGTTATGATTAGTAAGTGGGAAACAAGACTCATTGTCAATGATGGAGAGGCACAAAATGAACAACCGACCATAAAGATCCAGAGGGGAATTTTCAAAGGTGATGCTTTGAGCGCTCTCTGGTTCTGTGTCGCTCTTAACCCACTGTCGACCGTTTTGAACAAATTGAGAGATGGATACGAACTTGGAAACGGTAGCGTACTTAGTCACCATATATACATGGATGACCTCAAGATATTCTCATCATCGGAGGAAGGATTTAAGAGACAATTAAGATTTATTGAGAACTTCTCCAATGACATCAGGATGAAGTTCGGTCTTGACAAATGCAAAATCAACAGCATAAAGAAAAAAAAAATGGCACGAATCGGAAGGTCACAAACTAACCCAAGCATCAGGAGACGGAATCATTAATGCCATGCAGAAGGACGAAACCTACAAGTACCTAGGATTAGCCCAGGCCCAAGGAATTGCAACAGACAATGTGAAGCAACAACTGGTGAAAAAATTCAGAGATCGAACCACTAAAATTTTAAAGACAGGGCTGTCTGCACAAAATACAGTTGCAGCAATTAACTCATATGCTGTCCCAGTTATTGCGTACAGCTTCACAAAGCACCGTAAACATCATCCCTAAGCGTGCAATGAAAGATTCCACCTGTCCAGAACCATGGGAGGAAGAGGAATAACCGACATGCTCCTTCGCCACCAGAGTCAGGTTGAGCTGCTCAGAAAATACTTTTACAGTAAAGAACCCAAGTCCGCGTTACACAGAGCAGTCATCAACCTAGACGAAAACGTATCGCCCCTCAAACTTAATGACAGGCGATATCGATGCGACCCAGAATATTCCACAGGTATACTTCAGAACAGATGGAAGCAAAAAGAGTTGCATGGTAGATACCCCAACCTCCTTAGTAATGGAAGTATCGATACCGCAGCTACTTTTAAATGGCTGACATCAAGCAACATCTTCCCAGAGACTGAAGGATTCTTATGTGCGATACAAGACCAAGTTTTTCCGACAAAATCTTACCTGAAATACATTGTCAAGGACGCAAGAATAACCGACATAAGATGTCGTATGTGTGGCGAAGGTCATGAAAATATAGAGCATCTCCTAAGCGGCTGTAAGACGATGGCGCCGCGCGAGTATACAACTAGACATAACAACGTTGCCAAAATAATCCATAGTAAGATTTGTCACAAACTGGGACTTATTGAAAATAAACTGCCATACTACCAGTATACCCCACAGGCGATCTTAGAAAATGCACACCACAAAGTGTATTGGGACAGACCAATCCTAACAGATAGACCAGTTCAGCATAATAGACCAGATATTATGGTATATGATAAAGACCAACAGGCTATTATCTTATTAGACATCTCCGTGCCTTCACCTTTCAACATTAAAAAGAAACACCAGGAAAAGGTCGATAAATACTTACTGCTGGCTGAGGACATGAAACATACTTGGGAAGTTGAGTCCATCAAAATCGTTCCAATAGTGGTAGGAGCAACAGGAGAGATACCAATAAAACTAACAAAGAATCTCTAAGCTGTTGGACTACATAACAGTCTCTCTATGCAACTACAGAAGGCATTCTGTCAACTTGCAACATAATGCGAAAGGTATTAAATCAAAAAATTAAAATAGAAGAATCTCTGTAATGCCTGTGCTTTGTGATATTGTATCACCGGCACAGAAACATTCAAGCCGTACTAAGTGCGTGACAAAAAAAAAATAATAATAATAATTAATAATAATAATAATAATAATAATAATAATAATAATAATAATAATAATAATAATAATAATAATAATAATAATAATAATAATAATAATAATAATAATAATAATAATAATAATAATAATAATAATAATAATAATAATAATAATAATAATAATAATAATAATAATAATAATAATAATAATAATAATAATAATAATAATAATAATAATAATAATAATAATAATAATAATAATAATAATAATAATAACAATAATAATAATAATAATAATAATAATAATAATAATAATAATAATAATAATAATAATATTAATAATAATAATAATAATAATAATAATAATAATAGTAATAATAATAATAATAATAATAATTAATAATAATAATAATAATAATAATAATAATAATAATAATAATAATAATAATAATAATAATAATAATAATAATAATAATAATAATAATAATAATAATAATAATAATAATAATAATAATAATAATAATAATAATAATAATAATAATAATAATAATAATAATAATAATAATAATAATAATAATAATAATAATAATAATAAATAATAATAATAATAATAATAATAATAATATTAATTTTTTTTCTATCTATCTTCTGGTGCATAAGAAATACAAAGGGTACACAAAGAACTAAACAAACAACACGAAAAAGTGTAGAAACCACAGGTGTGGTTATAATTAAATCGAGGGGGAACAATACGCCAACCTTTTCAAAACAGTCAAAGAAGAGGTACAGATGACAAACTCAGACTATGGAATAAAGTCAGTGAGACAAACGAAGGATGGTAATCTTATGTTAAAAACAATGGAGGACAGTTGGCGCTAAATATGCTAAAAGAGACATTGGCAAAAGGGCTTCAGGAGAATTATATTGTGGTTAAGAAAGATACTAGCATGAGATTCATACATATTATGGGAATCCATAATTTGGCAACTATGCATTTTTTCAATTCGAAATTTGAGTTTTTGTTTAGTTGTTACAATGAGAAGTGTTGATCCTGTAATCGATTTCACCTAAAGTTCAATTAAATCATCTATAACTTGGCAACTATGCATTTCCTTACTAGTGAATTTAAGTTTTTTGGTTAGTCGATACCATGACAACTGTCTCTATGGCAACAGTTTCTCCGTAACTGAATTCAGTTAAAGTATACTTAAATCAAATCTTCTATAACTTGGCAACTACTAATTTCGTCACCACGATATTTGGATTTTTGTTACCATGCTAAGTATTTCTATGGCAACAGTTTGTCCGTAAGTGATTTCAGCTAAATTAAACCATCTATAACTTGACAACTACGCGTGGAAAACTTTTTATATCAGTTTTGTAAAAAAAAATTTCTTGATAAAAAGTTCTGCACGGTACAAAACTTAAAATTAAACCATCAGATACCCATTTATTAAAGCCTTATACGAGGTTTTCCAAAAAAATAAGAATTTTACTCAAGAGTAAAGTACCTTTATTTTATACAATACAGAAGAATGTTATAAAGTAAAGTTATTTTGAATTAAAAGTTATATTAAAATATGCAGTAATAGCCGTTTGGCATTAAAATTCATGTTTGGTGATTATTTAATTTATAACTACAAATAATTTGTAATGTAAAACGTAAATAGTCACCTAACCTGAATTTTTATGCTAAATAATAATAATAATTTTTAAAAAATTTTTTTTTATTCATCTAAAAAAAGTTATACATAAATAAATACAAATATTAAGTCAATATTTTAAAATAAATTAAATGAATAAAAAGTTACACTCCATAAGTGAAAACTCACTTGTTTCGAGTTATAAATTACAGTACCTATAGTGTGTCTACTTAAGTTGGAACCATATTGAAAACATTTTTATTATTGATTTTAGGAAAAAAAGTTATTCTTGATAAAAAGTCCTGCATGACCCAAAACTTAAAATACAGTCATCACATATCAAATTTTTCAAGCCGTATACGAGGTTTGTCAAAAAATATGAATTTTGCTCAAGAGTAAAGTACGTTTATTTTTTTACAAAATCGAAAATTTTCATTAAGAAATTTGCTAAATTCTTCACAAACATCAACAAAAGGAAAGCGTATCATGTTTATAGTAGCTAACGTAATTTATAACGTTTTCAGATATTTACAATCAATGTGTAGAGTGTAGAGTTTATAAAAAATAAGAAAATCTGATTTTTCATATAGATCAGTGTAATTGCATATTTGAATGTAATATTCAATTCTAATCAACTTTTCTTTATGAA